AAGCAGATGTGTGCTCAAGCAGTTTTAGAGGGTACAACTATTTTTCGGCCTCAAAAGTCTACTCACTGACAAATCTCTTAAAGAATTGAGAGAGGAAAGATAGAAACAAGGGCTGAGACATGTGCCTGTCAGTTGGGCGTACTGCAGTGGTTTCCATGTTGCTGGAAAGCGGAACTTCTGCCACCACTATTTCAAATACCAGCAGGATCCCTCCCTCACGGCAGACACGTTTCAGGGGAGCTTTCCGGCTAATACAAATTAGCCGGTGATCAGCTTCCAAAATGAAGTCAATGAAAGCATTTTGGATCACAGCCACCTGTTCTCCCACTCTCTCCTTTACGCCATCACGACGTATCAATGGGCGAAATGGAGGGGTGATGACGGTGAGCTTGGTGAGCTGCCCTGGCACAACTATCCCAAGCCTGGACTCCAGCCAGATTGGGATCAGGCGGTCACCTTGTGTTAGAGTTGGGTGTCTCTATTCATAGAGCTAATACCTGTGTTCAACTGCGCTCAAGGAATTTTACAGCTGCTGATATTATCTCAGCCACAAACTCCTTACCCTCAAAAGGTGAGAGTGAAAAGATATCGACAATGACTAACATGTGTTCTGCTCTTCCTTCCTAATAGGAGGATTATTATAAGCTGAGGAGGCATAGTCACAAGTTAAGATTCCATTTTAGACTTAAGACTTCCGATGATTTCATAGAAATGGAAAACAGAGGAAACAAAATCATCCTGGCTATCCTGTGGCTTGAAAAAGGCCCCATTAAAACCTTCAGGAAAAAGCAATACACGAATGAAACTCTCCTTGAGGACATGAGGGCAGCCTAGTGCCAACTGCAGGCCTGAATGTGGTCGAAGCACCTGTTGTGTCTGCAGCCAGGTTTGGACAATGGAAACAGCTCCAAATCTCAGTCCTGTCGATTCTGTGATTCCCACTCTGCTCAGTTCTCTGTTCCCAGAAATGCCTGAAAGCCCCGTGCAAACCATCTCTACTGCCAGGCAATATTTGGCGCATCTCTGTATACTTGACCTTGGAAACTGGTCTGGACTCTGGTCAGAAGTCACTTTCCAGTCATAACCCACCACTTTTTCATCGATTCCCTTGACTAAGGGCAGAGAACAAAGGACTTGGCTCGCCACTGTGGAAGAAGAGGCTACTGACAACCGTATGACAAGCTTCAACACCTTGGCGAATACCGAAAGCCTAAACAAAAGAGGCAGACCCTTGCTTTGAGATACTGCAGGAAGATGGGCCCCGCAGTCTGCGAACACTTGAAATGTGACTGAACAAGAGGTGACTTCTTGGAGGGGGTTGGACCATGGTGGCGCGGGTCAGGGAAAGCCTGTGGGAGCGGAGCCGTTGGAATCTTCATTTGTTGACGGGGCAAGACTCCAGGCAAAGAGACACAGCCGCAACAGAACTTGGAATGTGTAAAGTATGCATTTTGGAAAATTTGAAGTGGTTAAGAATGGCCCTGCTCGATACTGGCCTTTAAGGAAGGAACACAGAAGTTACGGGTGCTACAGCAAAGTGCAGGAAAGAAATTAGATGGTGTCCGGCTAGTCGATAAAAGTGTCCAGGGTCTTTATGGCTTGTCTCCAAAGAAGCAGCCATCTAAGTCAGATGTCAACCAAGTCCACGTGGAAGAAGCACACCATCATCAGTCACAGAAGGACTGTAAATCATATACTCCAACGTCAAAGGAAGGCATAGTATCAGAGCCTAAACAGTGACGTTCTGGACTCTGCTGATGATCGGCTAACAACAGTGGCAGCAGTACATCGACAGGGAACAGCCAGAAGTTTGGGCCAGATTCAGAAGAGGACTTGGAAGAAGGGACAGGGTTGCTGATGTCAGACGGATCTCAGCTGAAAGCAGAGAACACCAGAATTATGTTTCCTTGTATTTCACTGACTGTGAAAATGCAGTTGACCCTGTGGACCCTAATAACCTGTGGATGACCTTGAGAAGAGAGAGAATTCCAGAACATTTCGTTGTGCTCACTGAGAACTTGTACATGGATCAAGAGGAAGCTGTGATAACAGAACGAGGAACTACTGCATAGTTTAAAATAAAAAAAA